CCTGCTTCGCCGCCGCGGAGCTGCCTACAGCCCGTGCTCCGGTACTAAACAGGCTCCGAGGACCCACGTCTCTCTAGAGGTGGTGCCGCAGTCGGGATCCAAGCCATGGCGTGAGCGTTGTGGTGTCAATCGCGACTCAAAAGCCTCGGGAACCGACCAGGGAGCCTAAGATGCCGGCTGGGCCGCCGCCTTCGTGATAAAGCCTCCCGAGCCGCTCAAGTCACGCGAGACTTGGTCCGGAAGACGCTCAGGGCATGCTGGGAGTTGTAGTCCACGATCGGAAAGGCCCCCAAGATCCCGCTGTTCTTCTAAGTCTTAGATTAGAATCTAAGAGAAGCAATGAGCAGGGACCCTCTTCCAGCAAGAACTGGGTTAGTCAGGGTTCATACTGGTAGCAAAACCAAAAAAAGGAGGCAAACCCCATCCGCCTCCCCTAGACAAGGTGGTCCGAATGTCATTTCCCTGTTAAAACACTAACGAAAGTGACGCCTGAAGAGATGCCCTCTCAAATGTCACAACTTGAAGGAAGAAAGTTGTTTTCCCTGTAGGGTTTACAAACATGATAAAGCAACATGTTTCTACCCCACGTTCCAAGCTTGCCATCAAGCCCCATCTCTGAGGGCTGTGGTTGGCTGGGGAGTAGGTCTCATATTTAGATTTCAGCATTCATATTCAGGTATGCATAACCAGGGATCACAGACAATAGTGTGGGGAAGGCCTGGGGTGGGGCAGGGGCTGGGAGGAGAAGAGCAAAAGGGGGGTGGAATGGGGGACATCTGTAATACTGTCAACAATAAAGTAAAATTTAAAAAAATAAAAATAAAAAGATTTCAGCATTTGACACTTGCCAGGTCTACTGGCAGGACTGAGAGGCTTTCTCCAGACAACTTTAAACTTGAGTGTCATCACCAGGCCACCTCACCTGACTGCATCACACATTAAAGTCATTTCTAAGTTTTAAAAGTAGCTTGTGAATAGCAACAATTACATTGCAATGTGGTGTGTGTGTGTTCAAAGTGTTATTTTGGAACTTTTAAAATAATATATGCCATCATTTTAACCCTCCGTGGAAGCAAAGCTGACACCTTGCCCTCCTCCATCAGCAGAACAGAATGCACATCACGCCTCAGTCAGAAGGGGAGGAAACAGCACTTTGCAGCCTTCTATGAACCAGAAGGCAGGATCACCTTGTTTCATTCTTATCCTCAAATAAAAGACAACTGAAGCCTTTCCTGGAAGTTACCAACTCTGACTTAAAACAACTTTATCTCTGACTTTTGCAGCACTGATGTCTGAAACTATGGCATGATCGAGGCAGGTAGTAGCCATGTGAGAAAATTGCTGTTTTCCACAAAGAAATAGACTAACTATAAACTTTTAACCATCACAATCTTATGGGGTTCTCCCCTTTAAATGGGTATTGTATTTTTTTTTTAATTGAGGACCTTACTCATCTAAAGCCTGGACTCCCTTCAAAGCTTTCCATGCAAGTAAACTAGTTTTATTTTTTAATATTTTTTTAAATTGATTTCAGAGAGGAAGGGAGGGGGAGAGAGAAATATCAATGATGAGAGAGGATCATTTATTGGCTGCCTCCTGCACGCCCTCTACTGGGGATCGAGCCCGCAACTTGAGGTGCCTCCACTGGGAATCAAACCCGACCTCCTTGTTCATAGGTCGACGCTCAACCACTGAGCCACTCCAGCTGGGCTAAATTAGTTTAATAAGTGTCTTGGTTGCGTAGTTAAGGAGGATTCAGTCTGTCATGACTGAACCCACAAACCTAAGAAGGGTACCTTCTGAGCTGTCTACAGTCAGGACATCGTCCTCAGCTCCTGCAGGGGCTCTCTTGTGGCACTAGAAGTTCCCCTCTTCTGTGCTTTTTTCCTGACTCTGGTTTTGGTTCTTAACCAAGCTGCTTCCAGTTCTGTGCACGGCCACCTTCCTTCCCCAAGGGCAGCAGCATCTTTGGGAAGTTCTATAAGGTCTGACTGCATGGTTCTTTTCTGGGGCCAGACACTGGTCAGGGAGCCCTGCATGTGGCTGACCAGGGAATATGGTTGCCTTTTTATGTATATTTACAACATACACTTATGAGGAAACTAATTTTCTAAATCAGTTTTGACCCTGAATTGTCTTTCTGTACTTCCTTGGGCATTTCATACTTTAGTAAACATGGAGCCTTGAAAATTAGAATTGACCAGGATCTCTCTTGCCTTCCACTTCATGGGGAAGGGGTCACCTGCCTCCCTGTAGACCTCTCCCCTCTCGGGCCAGGCCAAGCCCCCAGAAAGGCCCGTTCCCTAGACAGAGCTGCCAGACCCCTCGGCAGACAGGAACTGGGTTACTAGGAGGGTAGCAAGAGGGGGCATTTGCATTTCTCGAGACTGGGAGCTCTACCTGGAAGCCTGCCCCCTTTGTCATCATAGATGAGACATCCACCTAGCAGTGCTCAGGGATTGTCCGTCTCCATTGCCCAATTGGCAGCTGAAGAAACTAATACTTTCAGGGGGACTTTGGCAAAGGTATCTCAGCCAGGAAGCCAGAGTTGAAATTCAAGCCCAAGGCTGAGTAATCTACCTGATAGTTTGGCTGCTGGCTGTCCTTGGCCTCAGCGCCTCCACTTTTTTTTTTTTAGAAATATCAGTGAGAGAAACATCAATGATGGGCTGCCTTCCTGGCAACTACTTGGTTTACTGGACAAAGCTCAACCAACTGAACCACACCAGCCAGGGCAGCTCCTCCACTTTTTAAAATCCCTGGGACAGCCGGTACATTTCCAAGGAAGAAAAAACTGGAAGCCACATCTCCCTCTAGTGGTGAGGGGGGAGAAAGATTTCATTGTAGAGATTAAGGATGCTGGGCTAGAGACTCAATTGTCAGACTGTCCTTGCAAACCAACTTGCCCTGGCCAGATAGGTCAGTTGGTTAGAGCGGGCACCCGATACACAAAGTTTTGGGTTTGATCCCCTGACAGGGCACATACAAGAACCAACCAATGAATGCATAAATAAGTGGAACAACAAATCTTTCTCACGTCCTCTCTCTCTCTAAAACCAATAAAATTAAAAATTTGCCTGGCCAGTGTGGCTCAGTTGGTTGAGTGTCGCCACATGCACCAAAAGATTGCTGGTTTGGTTCCTGGTCAGGGCATATGCCCAGGTTGTGGGTTTGTCCCCCTAGTGGGGTGCATATGGGGGGCAGCTGATAGATGTTTCTCTCTCACATTGACGTTTCTCTCTCTCTCCCTTCCTTCCTCTCTAAAATCAATAAAATCATATCTTTAGAAAAGGTTAAAAAAAAGAAACCAACTCATCCAACCTAATATTACAGATGGTGCAACTAAGGTTCAGAGAACAGAAGGAATCAGGCCAATGTCACACAGCTAGTCTGGAGCAGTTAGTTAGATAGAAATTGTGTTCCTGTGTCTTACCTTTTGTCAGGCACTATGCTGGGTGCTTGGGGTACACTGGGACGGAGCACACAGTCCCTGTGTTGGGCTTAGTTGTGTCCTACCAATACTCATATGCTGAAGTCCCAGCCCCCAGTACCTCAGAATGTAAGTCTACAGGCTTTTTGGGGACCCACAAAGAAAAATCTCTGAATACTAAAAGTAAAATAATTGGCTCTAATATTTTTTAAAATCTGCATAATCAAAATTAGTATGTTTAATTGAATGTCTGCACACAGATTATGTCGACTTCATTTATGACATTATATCATTTCCATAAAGATGGCATTTGAGCCCGGCCGGCAGTGGCTCAGTGGTTGAGCGTGGACCTATGAACCAGGAGGTCACAGCTTGATTCCTGGTCAGGGCACAGGCCCGGGTTGGGCTCGGTCCCCAGAGTGGGGAGTGCAGGAGGCAGCGGATCGATGATTCCCTATCATCATTAATGTTTCTATTTCTCTCTCCCTCTCTCTTTGAAATCAATGATAATATTTAAAAACAAAAAAAGATGGCATTTGAAAACAATTTGGGTTCGTTTTCTCCTTGTAATAAATTCCCAGTGAGCACCTTAGTACTCCTGAAAAAGTCAGTCAACCACAAATTAGATGAGGTACTGTAGCCATTGCCCCCTGAGGTCTTTTTTTCTTTTCTCTTTTATTTTTTATTGATTTTAGAGAGGAAGGGAGAGAGAAACATCAATGGGGAGAATCATTGATTGGCTGCCTCCTGCACGCCCCCTACTGGGGGGAGTCGAGCCTGCAACCTGGGCACGTGCCCTTGGCCAGAATCGAACCTGGGACCTTTTAGTCCACAGGCTGACGCTCTATCCACTGAACCAAACCGGCCAGGGCCTCCCTGAGGCCTTGAGGGAAGCTCAGGACGCAGGTCGCTGTACCGGGGTGCGACCTGGGCCTCGGTTTTCCCTTCCAGGAGGCACGTTTGCAGGGATGACCGGGGCAGCCGGGAGCTAAGCCCTCGGCGCCCAGGAAGAGCTGGGTAGATGCCGATGTCACCGTCCCCTTCCCCCCCGGCACCACCTCGCTCCATTCCGCACCGGCAGAGGGGGCGGAGGTCCCTCAGCTCGG